TGTTTAGTGTGGAAATGAGTAAAATCCAACTGATCCTAGTAATGCTTATGCATTGTACTTTATTTATATATTGCAACGTAGTCAAAGAACATCTTTAGGCGGGCGTTTTTAAGGCCTGGCTCCCATCTTCTTTTGTATAGCGATGTATCCTGTAATTGTTATGTTGACTAAAACTGGCAACTGTCGGTAAGTCAATTCAGTTCCTGGTTTTTTAAAACTTGCCAAACGAAAGAAATGTCCTTTCAATCCTTTTGTCATAACCCGAAACGTCCAATTCCTCTCGTATCATATTATTGTAACTGTTCCACTAACTCAAGGGTTTAGATTCTAGCTGGAACGCGTTTGCATAAGAAGATTTGGTTATTACCTCGTTCAGCGCTACAAAAGTTAGCGTGTGGGGTATTCCAATAAAATGCCTGTGCGAGTTTGCGCCACCCAAAGGGGTCGAGATTTTGGCACCCTTAATGTCTCCCAAACTAGGACGCAGGTTCCAAATAGTGAAAGATCAACAAAAAGTAGCCAACTTCTTGGCTGACCACCTCTCTACATCGGAAAATGAAATGGGTGGGACTGGGGTTGGCACCTTAACAGAGGAGGACCTAGCTAACCCCTCCAATCTTAAAAGAAAGCTGTGGTAAATGGTTCGAAGTTCTCCTTCCAACGGATCGGTTGCAGTCTGGGTAAGTCAGCCCTATATAGAGAAACTAAATATCAAAAAAGCGTCTGGTCACAATCATGTCACTCCGAAAATGTTGAGACTGGGATCAAACGGTATTGAAGACTCAATCACAAAGCTATACAAAGCTTATGAGAGTATATAATCAGGTAAATGGCCTAAAGCACGGAAAAAAAGCTTATGGAAGGGAGGATCGACCAAAATATGGAAAATGGCTGCTGACTCCAAAGAGTATGTAGGAATACTATCGACTGACATGACAAAACCCTTCGAATCTCTTCTTCCAGCACTCATGATAAATAATTCAAGGCTAATGGCTTCTTAGAGGAAGCGCTTTGCCTTATAAGGTCATACTTCGCTAATCGACAAAATAGGGTGAAGTTATATTCTGTGCTGATACTGTTAGAGGCTGCCCACAAGGATCATCATTTGGACCACTCATGTGGAACATTTTCCAAAATGACTTAACAATAACAATAACAATAACATTTATTATTTGTATTGCGCCTTTTCTATAAAATATTCAAAAGTGCATCACAAAGTAATTAATGACTAAAATTTTACAAATCTTTCTATAAAAATCATAAAAAATATTTACATTAAATGAGTAAAAGATAATTACAAATAAAGATATAGATATACTAAGATAACTGAAATGATTCCTTAAATAAAAATGTCTTAATTAAAGTCGTAACAGATTCTAAGTTCGTTGCTTCGCGCGCGGACCTTGGCAGCTTATTCCACAGGAAAGGAGCAGCTACCTGGAAAGCTCTGTCGCCCAATGTTTTCTTGGTTTTCACACTTGGTCTTTCCAACAAACGACCATTGTCGTTGCGCCTCAAATGGTAGGACGAAGGCTGTTGAATACTAATTAAATCTGAAAGGTACTTAGGTGATAGGCCATGCAAAATTTTAATAATGTATCCTGGAGCGCA